AGGCGTAAAAATAAGATAATTTTTTGATTGTAGCATGTGTATTTCAAGTTATACTACCATTCTGCATTAAAATCACAGTTTCTGTAAAAAGTGGACTTGTTACGTTTGCGTACTAAGCTAACGATATGTAAAATACATGTTGTCTAATACCACCTTTAAGTAATGATTAACTCTCTTTTTGACCTATTTTATGGGAGGTATAACAAATTATGGTCCGATTTTCCACATAATTGATCAGCCGACCATATGATACCTTACACCAGTTATGAATATTAAATGTGATTTATTTTTCATAATAAAGCATTTATCTTCAATATTCCCTTGTTCCGATACATTTAAGCAATTTATGGATGAAAAACTTATTTTCTGAAAGAGGCTTTATATGGGGGCTAGGGGCAAATATGGACCAAGCCCGATAAAATTTTGTGAATATATTTATATTTACATAATATTTTATTGTGCTGAATTTCATCGCGATATTTGTGTTTATAAGTTAATTTGGGACATTCAAGTAATTTTCTGAAGGGGACTTTGTATGGGAGCTATGTTGCCCGATCTTTATGAAATTTGGCAGGGTCATCAAGACTTCTATAAAACTTAGTTGTGCCGTATTTTATTGATATATCTGTATATTTAAGATAATTATGAGCTCAGAAGCCCTTTTCGGGGGTTCTGTTCTATGGGGGCTAGGTGAAATAATGGACCGATTTTAACCATTTTCAATAGGCTTCGTCCAAATAAAATCTGCCTGCCAAATTTCATCCAATTATCTTGAAAATTGCGACCTGTACCTTGCGCACAAGGTTTACATGGACAGCCAGCCAGACGGACGGACGGACGGACGGACATACACTATCGGACAAAATAAAGTGCAAAAATGCTCATGCTATATTCTTTCAGCAAAAAATCTGTTAAATGATTCTTGAATATGGATTTTTTTTAAAATTCATTTAGTTCATATACAATGCTACAAAAATTACAATAAAACAAAATCATTCCACCTAAAGTGTAAATTTTATATATCATTATTTAAATTTTTTGTATATCAACATTTTTTATCTATTTTGGTTCTGATTTGAATATCTGGATCTACTTAAGCCATTTTTGTATTTTTTTACTATTATTATTCGCAATCGCCTTCCCTTCCCCTTGCTTTCCCCCATACGATTATTTTCAAAAGAAATCCGTTTTTGTTCGCTATTTCAGCGGAATTTTTTTGATCAATTGTGGTCAAAAATTAATCTATTGGATTTAGGGCGATGGTCTGAGTAGGTCATTCCAATTTTTCAGTGTTTTTTTTTTTTTTTTTCTTACAGTAATGTTTTCAACCTTTGTCGTGTGTTTGAAGTCATGAATCCGTTGAGGCATTAAATCTCCCAAATCCATTTTTACGGCATTTATTTAAAAAAATTTATTAAATACGCTCGTGAATTGCTCATTTGTTATTGTTTACTCCATTTTCACTAAGATTCCTGCTCCTAAGGTTGAATAATGTACCAATACCGATAGCCCCCCACCATAATGTTTAAAACCTTGGGTATTGTTTTTAAAATATTGTATATTGAAGGGTTTAAATCACACTCATTGTCGACATTTTAAAATTTTCGGTACAAATTAGGACTCATCTGACTACGCAAATTTGAGCTAAAAAATACAAAATTGAATACTAAAACCGAAAAAAATGTCCATGCTTTTAAATGTGTTGGTGAAAGATTGAACGTATGGGTCAGTTGACTCTTCGTATGTGTTCAATTTTTAATGTTAGCTGTGGGGAACTTAGGGGAAATTTATTCAAAAAGCTCTAGTGAACACTATGTGAGCATATTACAGTCAAATCTTAAGATCATTGCCTTCGAAATGGACTTGAGCAACTTTATATCTCGCCAAGATAATAAGCTTAAGCGCTTGATAAAGTTAAAAAATAGCATTACTGTAGGAAATAACACTGAAAAATTGGAACAAGCTGCTCAGAGCACAGCCCTAATTCGAATAAATTAATTTTGGACAACAATTGATAAAAAAAAATCCGATGAAATAGTGATCAAAAACGGATTTCTTTTGAAAATAATCATATGGGGAAAGCAAGGGGAGGGAAAGGCGATTGTGAATAACAATGGTGAAAAAAAATTACCAAAATGGCTTAAGTAGATCAAATATATAAAACAAGACCCAAAATAGATAAAAAATTTTATATACAAGAAATTTAAATAATGATATATAAAATTTACACTTTATTTTGTCCGACAAAAAATGAATTTACTTTTATTTTAGAAGTTTTACAGAAAATGTACAATAATTTAGTTTTATTGTTATTATTGTAGCATTGTATATTAACTTAATGATTTTGAAAAAAATTTCCTTATTCAATAATCATTTAATCGATTTTTCGATGAAGGAATATAGCATGAGTACTTTTGCACTTTATTTTGTCCGATAGTGTAGCTTAATCGACTCAGAAAACGATTCTAAGCCGATTGGTATACTTTAAGGTGGGTCTAGGACGAATATTTTTGTATGTTACAAACATCAGCACAAATCCAATATACCCTCCCCACTAAAGTGGTGTAGGGTATAAGAAATAAAAACAACAAACACAAATACTATACGTTGTTGTTGTTTCCAGTGGTTAATGTTTGTTATAAACAAGAAAACAACGTACTCAAACACAAACACAGTCTGAATGTTGTTGTTGTTTTTAAGCGTCGCATGCAAAAAATTCTCCTTTTTTAACGAAATTTTCAGAGGTTGTCTCGGATTTTTGCTCATGTCTTCGTTATTTATGGGCAGATTTTGCTGATTTTAAATACGAAACTTCTCGAAATCATGTCAGATACAATTATTCAAGATTTCACAAAGATATCTGGGGTCTTCAGAAAATTGATTTCAACAAACAGAAGGACATGGCTTAATCGACAACGCTATAAGAATCCGGAATATATATCGTCACCTGAAATGCAAAAAGGCGTAACAACCAAAAATGTTAAAATCAACTTTTTGATTGAAAATGGTCCACTGCATCAAAATACATGTTGTTACAAATTTTTAGAGCTCTATGGTCAAAAACTCCGATTTTATTGAGATGAAATTCAAAAGGGCGTAACAACAAATTAGTCATTTCCACAAGTCAGTCATATTCAAATCTGTTTGTTAATGTTTGGATATAAATTTTATAAAAAATTTACGTTTTTATAGCAACAATTGTTTTCATTTTATTTAGTTTTTTATCTCTCCTGTAAAATTTTTAATAGTTGTTACGCCCTTTTGCATTTCAGGTGACGATATATACTTTATTGGGTCGGAAAATTATACTGTAGAAGTTACAAACGGAATGACTAACCTATATGTATGTACATATGTATGTATATACCCTTCCCACGAAGGTGAAAGTTATAAAAATATGTTAGCTGATGAAATGCACACATACAAATTTCAACAATTTATAATTTTTCGATCACGCTAGCTCTAAAACATATGCCAGATATTATCTTTTCTAAATCATTTATTTTCATCTATAATTTCGGTCAAAATGCACTCCGAGAAAAAAATCCGATAAGGACTTTCAAAAAAATACTTGTGTGATTGGTGATGAAACTCACTAGGAACCTTTTCACAACTTTAGGGTTAAGATTTTTATGCGGCTAATGGGCTAGGTAACGTTCAAGAATAATACTGGTCAAAGAAACAAACAAAATTCCCCAAGATGTTTCCGGTGCTTCAAGTCATTTGCAGTTGTGACAAAACTTGCCAATTATTTGTGACATCTGGCTCGACACAGAAATATATAATACGGAGTGTCATGTCACTATTGAAAAAAGGCTCTTAAGTATTCAAACAATAATGACAATTTTGTACCACGAGAGGCAAATCAACAAACCTGTGCAGAACTTTGGCATGTAGAAAGGTTTTAGATCCTTAAAAAAAAAAAATTAAAGAACACAGTAAAGGGGTCCCAGAACATGTTCGACTGAAAGCTTCAGTGCAGCACTTCGTCCAAAAATTCAAAGGAAGCAGCTATAAAATCGTTTTTGGAAGAATATTCGGAAAAGGTGTATAAATTTATAAATACCGAATAATATGCCAATATTTAAATGTTTAATGAATTTCTAAGTATTTTTAGAAATTTTAGTATTGAACGTTTTAAGTTTTATTTAACTTAATACAAATATAAGATTTTTCTGACACACTCCTCATAGAATTGTACAAAAATTTTCTATATAAAAAGAGATAAAACTGTAAAATATTGTTTGATCGTTTGAAAAGTTTTCATATTATGGAATGTTTTTAAGCCCCCTTCTGTCAAAATTTTGTGTAGAAGAGAGCGGATGGGATCGTCTAAACGCAATATGTAACGAAATCATCACACATTGAGAGAAAATACGGATGGAAAATTTGACAGTCGTATGACTCTCTTAATTTTTTTGAAATGATTCAAAAAACAAGCAAGTCGCATTAGATCAGGGATGTATTTTCATGTAAACATATAATAAAAAAGTGAAACAACTGTTTCCATCTTACTTTGTTATTGTTTTATACCAATCGTGTAAACACAAAAAATATAAATCATACGACTTTTATTCTCTTTTTTGTCATACGAATGGAATTTCATTTTACTTTTTCATTAGACTTGTCGTACGTAAAGTGTGATCGTCTGAAGGGCTCTTTAATGATATAGTCGGTCGTGACCGACAATACTATTTTACGTGTTTGATAATAAGCACATACATATGTAATTTTATATTTTTAAATATTTACAAGACGACTATGATTAAATTTTGAAAATTCTCTTTAACTTTAAAATTTTGAAGTCTTTTAAATATAAAATAAATTATGAATTTTTATATAGAGAATACTGATCATGTTATTTCGGAAATTAAAATTGTAACATATATTTTTTTCGAAGGGTGTAACAATTGCAATGTTTTACATTGTTTCTTTTACTCTTGTTTTTGTTTTTATCTTTATAACGGTGGCTGAGTTACAATAACTTTTTAAAATAATATGGCAATTTTGGTGTTTTTCAGATTAGTTAAGTTAATAATTTTCTACTTTTGTGTCATTATACCGAAATATTAATTTTAATTTATTTTGAATATAATAACTTTATGATGCATTATGTGTGATAGTTTAAAGTGTGGATTTACTTACAGGAAAACAATGATTTCATTAAAGAAAAAATCAAATCAATTTGAAAATGAAGTTAATTACAAGGTATGTGTTGTATGTTTTTTTTGGGTTAATTTAACAAACGTATTTTAGTATAGTGCTTTTATTTGAAATTTTAAAGGGCATTAGCAAATTTTAAAACTAAAATAATTTCTGTGAAAGCAAATGCCACATGAAAATTCCAATTTAGCGCAGAAATACGTTGGCACCCGATTTTCTTCACGCACTTGATCCAATTTTATTGACACATTGTTTCGGTAACACATATGTTTATCTTCTTAATGTGTTGTACACTCAATATGTTGGGACTTAGTAGGCCAGTAGATCTTGCGATTGAGTTTATCCATTTTGCAGGATTCCTTGACTGCTGATCTAAAAAATCCCAACCATATTAAGAGTAGTGATTGTAGTAAATCTTTTCCGTGCGGTAAATTTAATGATAAAATTAATTAAAAACTCTCACAACTATACTGATGTACAGTGTGTTCTAAACTGAAATTAAAGTGCCAGTGAAATAACAGATTTATTATTGTTAATAATAATTAAATCATATCAATTGTTTAAATGAGAGAATATGCGATCCATTACAAATATCAAAAAGGTCTGTAGTTGGCTTCGTCGGCATTGAATAGTGCAATAGAATCTGTAGTCTATTCGGCCGTAACTAAGATTCAACCTTGCATCTGCGGTTACTATGTGCAACGTAAAAAATTATACACATGTGTTGATTACTTTTTATTTCTACTACCTATTCAAATGACAGATATGTACAAATTAACATTAGAGTGGTTCATCAAGGTATGAAAATAAAAAAAATCTTACATTTTCTTTATATATTGTCTAAATTTCAACACCATATTAAATGGGAATACGGACATGTTTGTTGGCAATATCAGAAAGTTTTAAACATTTGTAAAATTCCTATTTTTGTAATATGTGCCTATATATGTACATACATATGTATATTAGGGTTTAAACTTTCTGCATAAAACTGATTGGCATAACTTTACTTGTCCGAACAACTCACTGTGGTCCATTTTTTGGCAAATGATTTTAAAGTAAATTTTATATGTTTATGTGGTGTTCCCAGGTTAGCCTTTTTATATATGTATGTATAAGTTTGTCATTCGGTGTGTAACACCAAGAAATATTCATCCGAGACCTAACATAATATATATCGAGGGATTATATTCAATAGTCGCTAACTGTAATTTGCATGAAAATGAGATTTTGATGGCAAAATATCCAGCAAACAATCCCGCATCAGTGATATATATTTCAAAGTCAAAAACATATTTTTGGCAATTTTATAGCATTTTGAAATGTTTTCTATCTTAAAGAAAGAAAAAAATCTGAATGCAAAACTCCATATCTATTCCAAATATTGCTTTGAACTCTTTGGATAATTTTCTGTTACAAAACAAGTTTTCTTACTAATGGACATGCTGAACACAAGTAAAAATATTTAAAATCGGCCTAATAGTTTTCGAGAAATCGCTCATTAAGACACTAATTAGTTTAATTTTCCTGTTGTGTTCAACCATATAATTTTGGACCAAAACATTATAATCATTATAATTATAATGCTTTTTTAACAAATTGGTTTATTTTACTCCATAAAATTGCTTAAAATATAAATTATAAATTTTATGTTTCCAAGAAAAACTCTCTAACTGTTGATTGTATGAAAATTTTCGTCGAAAAAAAGCACTATCTGTTATAAATTTGTGAATAATTTTGCAAATAATGCATAATTTTAAATTCATATATTGTAGAAGAAAAATGTTAAAAATCTTCACGAACTAGCGAAATAAACTGTTTTTTTTTTATCTCATGAAATCTTATTATTTTTGATATAGACTATTGAACATAGTCCCTCGAAATATTCCGGGTCCTTATGAAATTCTGATATGTCCATCTGTCTGTGAAAAACACGCTCACATTAAAACGAAGCAATGAAAATTAACGAAATTCGCCCAAAACATTCGTTATTATCCGGTACAGTTTGGTATTGAAAATCAGCAAGATCGTTTCAATAGGTTCAGAGTTATGAGTAAAAATTATGCTTCTTAACTTAATTTTTTTATTCTTTTTACAAAAACTGTCAGTCTTATAGTTCTTGGTGCAAGGATCAATTTTTTTAAAATCAGTCCACCATTACCACTCATACAAATACGGAGCTAAAAGTTTTTTCAACCTCTCAGGTCCTAGTTTACAAAAAAAAATTATTTCTGGTTTGTGTAAAAAACATTGAGAAAATGTAACGGTTAACAATTTCTTGTACCTTCCGTGCAAAATTAAATTAGTTTTTATACCCTACACCACTTTAGTAGGGAGGGTATGTTGAGTTTGTGCTGATGTTTGTAATGCACAAAAATATTCGTCTTATACCCACACACCCTAAAGTATAGCAATCGGCTTAGAATCAGATCGATTAAGCCAGGTACAGCCGTCTGCCCGTCTGGCTGGCTGTCCATGCAAAGCTTGGAAATTGGATGAAATTTGGCACATATGTTTTTTTGACCCAAGGACGAATCCTAATGAAATGTTTAAAATGGGTCCCGTACAATAGAACACCCCGAAAAGCGCGTTTTAGCTCATAATTATGTTAAATATACTTGTATCTCTAAAAGCGGCACAACTAAGTTCGGGCCTCATTTGACCGTAGCTTCCATACTAAGTCCCCTTGATGAAATTCAGCATAAATAAATATTCTATAAATATAAAGCTATTCATAAAATTTCATCGGGATTGGTCCATATTTGCCCCTAGCCCTTATATAAAGCCCCTTTCAGAAAATTAGTTTGTCGTCCATAAATTGCTTAAATATATCGGAAACAAGGTAATATTCAAGATAAATGATGCTTTTTTATGAAAAATAAATCACATATAATATCTGGTGTAGGGTATCATACGGTCAGCCATGCCCGACTATTCATTCTTACTTTTTTAATACATTATTATTTCCATTCAAATTATGTTAAATATTTAACATATGTTAACATTTGTTCAATTTAGTACGTTCTGTTACAGTCTGTTAAGTGGTAGTTCTGTTCTTAATAGCATATTGTTAGGCACAATGGAAGTAAGTGTAATACGTTATGGTAAATTTGAATCAATCCTTAAAATTTGATAACTTATGGGCAGCCGATATAACACTCTAACTTGTTAAGGCTAAATTTAGCCTTTTTATATATGGTAATTTTGATGATAACACAAATAAGTATGTTACATATGTATACTGTTTCGTAACATAAATTAATAAAATAAGTTGGAATGTGTAGTCATGCGTGCGTTGCGTACGTTACAAATTTCATCAAATAATCTTGAACATTGCGACAAGTATCTTGTGCAGAAGCTTAACACAGACACCCAGCCAAAAAACCGAAAATTGCGACCAGTATTTTGCGCAAAAGCTTAACATAGACACCGAGCCAGTAAGCCGGACAGATGGATTAAATCGGCTCAAAAAAATGATTCTAAGTCGATGTATACTTTAAGGTCAGTATATGACAAATATTTTTTAACGTCTCCACTAAAGTTGTTTAGAGTATAAATAGAATCATTTTATTAAATTCTTCGAAGACATCCAGTTAGTAAGTTGGACAGATTTACTAAATCGGCTCAGAAAATGATTCTAATTTCTGCGGAAATCATATATTATGGTCGAATATGCCCGACTATTATCTTTCATTTTTTGTAACACAGATTTTTAAGGTCTAAAATGTAGTATTTTTCTAGACTTAATTTATAAACTTTTTCGCCTTATTTGGCCTTTTTTAATTTCGATTTAGCCTTTTATTTCTGAAGTTCGTGGCAACACTGATGCTGAGATTATTGAAACAACAAAAAATTTGGAAATCTACGTTTTGATTGAAAATGGTCCACTACATCGAAATACATGTTGTCGAAATACATGTTTTAGAACTTTATTGTCAAAAACACCAATTTTATTAATATGAAATTCAAAAGGGCGTAGCAACAAATTAGTCATTTTCACAAGTCAGAATTTCCTAAAAAGCAACACAATAGACGATATCTGGAGTCACATTTATATTTAAACATGTTTATTGATGTTAGGATATAATACATGGAAGAAAGATACTTTTTTATAACAACAATAGTTTTAACTTTTGTTAGTTTTGTGTCTCTCCTGTAAAACTTTCAAAAGTGTTGTTACGCCCTTTTCATTTCAGGAATATAACACTCTTACTTGTTATTTTATGAAATTTTTTCAGACAGATATTTTTTTATATTTTCAGAAAATTCTTTCTTCAGATAAACCAATGCCAATATCTTACGGAGATCGTTTTATACCTCGTCGATTTCTATTAAAAAATTGTGAAAAAAACATAAAATTTGCTTCAAAAAAACCGACTAGAGATGTTCTTTCATTGGTAAAGAAAATATATATAGTATAAATATGTATTTAAATGTAAAGTAATTATTATCATAACATATTGGGAATTAATAATTTGTAGTGTACTAGCCAAGACTATTGGAGAGAAAATACTTATTTACCAACGATAAATTTGATAATGGAAATTACAAAAGATCGTGTTTTACAACTAATGGACCCAATTGTAAAATCAACTGGCCTTATATTAAGAACATGCTGTCGGGATAATAATGAAAACAATTGGTTTTTGTATGATTGGCCATGTAAACCCCGATCGAAACCATCTGCATCCCTTGATACAACATTTGATCTGCCAGATTATGACTCGAGCTGCGGTAAGATATGTGCTATAAAAATTGTTTGATTTTGTATTATAATTATTTAGAACTAAATTTTTTGTTTGTTATAGAAAAAAAATATTGTAAAAAAGCCATAATATTGATAAAGAAAGATCCAGTTTCCTGCTTTTTATTTATTCGGTTAACAGAATAATTTTGAATTATCCGATTATTAACCGGCTAACTTAAAACCTCAAATTATTATTTGTCGAATAAACCGAATAAAAATATTATACAATTAATCGACATAAATAGTTCGAACTATTCTTTATTCTAAATTAAACAAAATATTATTCGTTCGTAAAACAAAAACAACATTTTTATTCAAATAACAACCCAACTTCATGTGCATCTGAAAAACAGAATTCTCACAGTAAGTGCCGGTATACACAGGAAAACTTTTTGGGAAACTTTTAATTTTATGTGTGGGAGAGAGAGATGGTTGATATTTCGTTCTTTTTTTCTCAGACACAAAATCAAAAGTTTTTCTTTTCTCTTTTTCTTAATCTCTTTTAAAGTTTCCTTAATGTCTACACATAGAAACTTTTGTTTCAGAAACTACGTGCAGTGTGACCATTTTAGCATTTTTGCAGCTAGATTTAGCATTTTTTATTTTGATTTAGCTGTAAAATTTTAATTTAGCATTTGGCATTTTATTTAGCATTTTTATAAAATATTTTTAGCATTTTTAGCTTTTTGGCAATTTTAGTATATAAACAAAAAAAGACAAATTTTTGCAAAAAAGATTTATATTGGAAATAGGTTTAACCGGAAAAAATCAGAATTAAATGTCTACCCAAACACAAGCAACAAGAAATATGAGAAATGTAATAATTTACACTGTAATTCAAAATAATGCAAAAAGATTCATGAAGATAAATAACTTAAAATTACGCCAATACAAGTGAATACTTTAAAATGTTGTATTCTAAAATATTTTACTGGAACCCAATGCTTTTTTAAATTCGAGGTGATACAAATAATTCAAGAGATTTCATATATTTTTACAAATACGTTCAGTACGCTATTTTACAAACTAATACTTTTTGTTTGCTCATGGAATGAAACATATAATTTTGAAAAAGGCTATGTATGACGGTTAATTAACAAATTTTATGTTTTCCTATACGAAATAAAGAGGTTTTAATTTTTATCATCCTTCAGGAGTTCTTGTTAATTTATTGAAAAAAATCAATAATATATAATTAAGACTTTCTCATCCTACTTTCTGTTCTTTTTATTTTTACCAAATTTTTAGTAATTTTGTTGTCTCGTTTTTTTTTTTAATTAAAAAAAATACATAAATTTCGAAAATATTATTGACAATTTATTCCAGAATTACAAACTTACGGATTTGAATATATCTCTCAATTCATTTCATACATTCTCATATATATTTTTCCGAAAAAATCTTGGAAGTATGAGTTATAAACCTGACATCTATTCACCGAGATTTAAAATTAATTCAACGGAATTTTCAATATTTTTGTGACATGAAAACCATTTTTAAAGTATTTTGAGGAAGACAAATAAAATTGTTTATAAAAAAAAGTAAAACTAGAAATATTATACTTTTCCTTCCGAAAACACATATAGGTTTTATACCATGAGCAACTAGTGTAATTAATAGAGCTTTATGTAATTTTTGCATTCAGAAATATTTTAAAGTTAGAGACATTACATATAGCTAAATTTACAAAAATAAATAATTTTTAGCATTTCTGTTTATCTTAATACCACGGAACTTAATTTTTTACCCTAATTCACTATACTACGTTTGAGTATACTAATCGGTTAAGAATCATTTTCTGAATCGATTAAGCCATGTAAGTCTGACCGTCTGGTAGAGGTTGAAATTTTCAAAACAATAAGCACGTATGCTTTTTGATCCAATGACAAAACCTTTTAAAAATGGTTAAAGTCCGTCCTTTATTTTACCTAGCCCCCCAACATATACAAATGTATAAAGCCTTTCTCAGAAAATTAGTTTAAATATATCGGAACCAAGGTTCAATTCAACATAAATGCTTTATTACGAAAAATAAATCAAATTTTATACTCATATGGTCAACCACGGCAGAATATACTTTCTTACTTGTTATAAATTACAATGAATTTCAGTTACAAATTAATATGAATTGTTCATAAAAACACTTTAAAAAATTTAGCATTTTTTTTTTTGGCATTTTAAAATCAATTTAGCATTTTTTCTAGCATTCTTTTGGATGGGATTTAGCCGCAATATTTTTTGAGACCTGGTCACACTGACTACGTGTTAATCGCATTGATTTGTTTTAGTACGAATGAGAAGAATAACAAAACAAAACAAGTTTCCTAGTACGAGAAACTCCGTACCGCGAAAGAGATGAATGATATTTCTCTTTCTCCCTCACGCAAAATCAGAAGTTTCCCAAAAAAGTTTTCTTGTGTAGACGGGCACTAGGTCAGTAAAAATTAAAATGAATGGGGAAAATAATAACATTCCAAATTCCATTATTAGTTTCTTTCTGTGTGGGGCTTCGAACATAACATTCGTTTTGGATATCACACTAATTTTACTTGGAAATTTTACTTATAGTTTAAATATTATTTGTTTTGGTTTTAATAGATCAGAACCTGGTTGATTGGTCGATACGGGGTCAAATCGCGGTCTCTTTTGGTCATGATGTAATAATTTGGCAAAGTAAAGAAGATATAACAATGGCGTTTGACATTAAGTGTCCCCGATCTTTGGCTTATAGTCCTAGTGGGGAGTTATTAGCAATTGGTTGTAAATCTTGTGAATATCCAGGCAAGTAATTTTGTGCGCTACATACACGTATACACGCATGTATATACATACCTACGTACTATGTAGATTGCTATTAACTATAAACTTTTGTCTATTTCTAAAGTGTTGGAACTGTGGGATGTATCATGTCCTCAAGATTTTTGTGTAATTTGTGGTAAGGTATTTAGTTTGAAACACATTGCTGTGCAATGCATTGAGTGGACCTCATCTGGTAAGCAAATTGTATGTGGTACACATTATGGATCAATATATGTTCTGTCAGTCCCCGATATGAATACAATTAAGAAAATACGGAAGCACCATTTGCCTATTACTATAATACGTTTCTCACCAACCATGCGTTATTTGGCTAGTGGCGATTCCGAGGGAAACATTGTCATTTATAATTGGAATATGTGCAGTGTTTATCTGTATGTAAGATCTAGACGTAAACTAAATGTCGTTTTTGATTGGCATCCCTGGACTGGAGTTGATTTAGCCATTTGTTCGTATAACCATGTGATTGTAACATATACGCCATTTTTTTAATAAATTTTATTACAGCCGAGGATGTTCCTGCTTCAATTGTCCTTTTACATGTTCCCACTAAAAAAATCGTTGCTTATTATCAACAAAATGGATCAAAAATTGCAATAAATTATATATCGTTTAGTAAACTTACAGGCGAATTACTAGTGAGCACTTCTAGTCAAGGTACAATTTCATAATTTCCAAAAAAAGTAAATTACAGGACCAACTCGATAATTTTGTTCTAGATGGCAATGCATGTAACGATTATAAAGTTTTAGTAATGTCTTCGCTAGATAGAATTGTTGACATACTAAAAATTCCAGATGGTGGGGCTAGATTTTTAATGTGGAGTCCTGATGGTACAAAGGTTGCTACAACTGGCAATGATGAGACTCTTACTTTATGGAATTTTTATTCTGCGAAAAAAACCAAATATTTTAAAAAACTCAATGGACAAAAAGACAACTCTTCAATGGAATCGAAATTTGGAAATCAGTTTAAAAAGTGGTGTTATTTAAAATGACAAACTTATAGTATAGCAATCTTATTATGTCCTTCACCTTTGTAAGAAGTTATTCATCATTCGGTTTAATTTGTAATTCCGTTTGTAATTTCCACAGAATAATTGTTCGACTATATGCTGGATTCTTATAGTTAGCGGAATCGATTAAGCAATTTCGTCTGTCAGTCTGTTGATGTCAATTTTCTGAAGAACCCACATATCATTGGGATCCAAATCTTTAATGACGGGAATATTGAATTCTTAAAAAAAAAAAAAAAATAAATTTCAAAAATATACAAAATTTTATTAATTTTTAAGAATTAACGTTTTTTAAAAACACACTATGGTGAAGGGTATATACGATTCGGTACAGCCGAATATAGAACTCATACTTGTATTTATGTATTGAATGTCTTTTATTTAATGTGATAATATAATAAGAATATTAATTGTGGACTTTTCTTTAAATGTGTTACATTGCCTTCACAGAAAAAAATAATACATAACATGAATGAATTTTGTGATATATTGTATGACCCCCGTTAACACCAACTCCGGTTATCGTTTAACCGGTAGATATTCTACCGGTTAAAATAATTTTTGTATGAAAACTGTCAATTTAACCTTACGATTAAATATAACCAGATATTGAGATAATGGGGGTGAATCGGATATGACATTTTTTCCAAAACCATTTTCATTCAGAATATTAAAAGTTCATAAAATGTATGAACTTGTACATGACGGAAATTTTTTAAATTTTTACTTTTTTTCTACGATATTCATGAAAAATTGCAAAAAAAAAAGTTCATTATCTACTAATCTGTTTCCATATTTAGTAGATAGTTATCCTTTATTAGCGAATTTTGTATAATAAAAATATATACGTAAATTGAAATGCAGAAAAACAGAATGTTAAACAAGAAAACATCATCCAACGTAGTTCATAAAATGCCGCCAAATATGTGCACATTTCATCAATTTTAATCTAAAAATCATAAAGAAATACAAAATTATCCAAAGAAAATTTCAAATATTTTTTTAACAAATAGAAAAATAAAAATAAATTTGAAATATTTTAAGTCAAGGCTTCTAGATTGAAAAAAATATAAATTATAAAATTCATACAATTTGGGAATTTATACCCAATTTACACATACACGAAATCTAGTACTTATGAGATTTCGAGCCAAATCTACTTGATTTTAACTAGATTTCCCATACAAAACAAAATCTACTTCGTAACTAGATTTCGTTAAAATCTACTCAAAATCTAATAGTTTTTAGTGATGCAACTCTGTTTTTTCCTAAATAATACTAAAAAATACGACACTACACAAGAAAAAAGAGGAAAACAAAACAAACAAAAAAAAAATTAAAATGTCGACAAAATTTTTATAAATTGAAAAAATTGAATGAAAAGTTAATCTAAAATAAAAGGTAATGTTATATTTAGATATCTATTTTTTTATTTTAAATGGAATTTTGATAAATATCCCATTTTTCCTTCTTATTTTTCATATCACACACTTTTTCAAGAAATATTAGAAAAAATGAAATCTTCTTAAATGTCAAGAATAGTAAGTGTAAACGGACTAGATTTGGAAAAAGATTTTAAATGAAATCTACTAGATTTCGTGCATGTGTAAATGGGGTATTATTCTTAACTTTAAATAATGAAAGCAGTTCATAATATTTATGCTGAAACTTTTTTCTGTGTTTATTTATAAAAATATGAAAACAAGTAAGAATGTATAGTCGGGCATGGACGACCATATGATACGCTATACCAGTGAGTATGTTAAAAATGTGCATTATTTTTTTATAATAAAGCATTTAAGTTGTTTTTTACCTTAACTCCGAAATATTTTGATGACAAAAAAAATTATTTTCTGAAAGAGGGGTTTATGGGGGGCAAGGGTTAAACATAGGCCTTTGGTGTACTGGGTGTACAGATACAAACTCATAATATCCTCGACACTATAGTGGTGTAGGGTGTAACTGCCACCAGTATTTTAAGCCTGGCCATTATTGCCCTATATATACTTATATTTAAAGAGGTAGTAAAGTTCTTATTAAAATATTTTAACTGTTCAGTGGATGTCAAAGTTGCCCATACAAAATTTGGGCACTTTTGCTACTATAATTTCCAAGATATGTTTGTATATGACTGATCGTGATACCTCGATACGCTGTGATAATGTCTAGAAAATCGGCCCAGCCGTCAAGCAGCCTAAGAGTAATTTAAAACTCTGGTTTTAATCGAGGTTATTATGATAATTTTTATTAATGAGGCATTAAATGTTTATTAATATCAGTTCCTATATCTTAAATAACTTTTATTTATATATTTATAAAAATATTTATATTAAATCGATTTTAAGCTATTTGCCATTCCAATAAAACACTATTGATCCATGTTGTGTGTGATGCTACAGCCGTTGCTATAATTGTATGATTTTCTGCACAGGCTCCATTGGTCGATACAATACCGTATAAAATATTATATTGCATACTTATGGATCCGGTTCCAATATCATCATTGCAAATATCAACTTTTTTGGTTCGATCCCCCATACAGATAATATTTTCAATTCTTTCTTTATCATCGTTCGGTAGATAATGCAAACACTTTCTTTCCGAATAAACTTTAAACTTGGCAACTCTTAGTTTCTTTGTAAGGTAATTGGTAGTGTGAACGTTTGATATGCCCCAACCATAAACAGACATTGCTGAAGGCAACTCCTCGAATTCCTCTGTAGGTATTCGTAAAGTCTTGATATATCCGTTTTTATTATCTAATGGTCTCCTTAAATTAATAAGGGCAATATTATTTGAGTTATCGCCAAGTTTAAATTCGGGATGAACAGCAATTTTTCCCAGTTTTCGAATTTGTCCTCCACTTTTGAAATTTAAACTTCCAGCTCTAATTACTAGATCATGTATGTTCAAATCAATGATGCAAGATGCTGCAGTAACTACAATGTTTCGCCGTATTAGAGATCCACTACATATTAAGACTCGTTTGTATATTATAGCTACGTGCCATCCAGCATTCGTTTCATTTACAACCACACCGCCTATAATAATTCTATTATTGTTTCTACTTTCAGCGTCCACTCTACTAAAGCACAACACAATCACCAGAGAGATTGTTAGAGATTTGTAATACCACAGACGATTCATCAGAGACACTAAATATGTTTATAAAACATTTGTCAGATATATACCAATATTAAGCAACTTTCACCATATATTTATATTTAAATATTTATTCAGTAGAAACTAGCATAAATAGGAGTAAAAAAGTTATATGTTGACAAATAGTTAATTAATTTATATTAATTAAAAATGTTTGATAATAAATACATTTCTCGACTTTAATTCGTACAAAATTAATGGATGAGTATGACAGCATAATAGAGTTTAAACTTGTCTTACATTTAATTCCATTTCCAAGCCATCGTAGGCTACAATTCTACGCATATATACCCTCTATCACCACTGATGGTATATGTATATAAGTTTGTCATTCCATGTGTAACACCAAGATATATTCATCTGAGATCCAACAAAGTATATTCTGAGAAGATTGAGAAAATGTAACTGTTTAAGTTTTTTATGGTATTCAGCAACAACAGTGTAGATAAAAGTTATTCAACAACATTTTTTTTGCACAAACAGAAAATATCATAGTATTTGTATGGAGAAAATATTATTTAAAGCCAGTTTATCACAAGTAATATGATCTGTTAAAATTTTGTGTAGAAGAGAACGGATGGGAACGTCTAAACGCAATATGTAATGAAATCATCACACAGTGAGAGAAAATACGGATGGAAAATTTGATAGTCGTATGGCTCTCTTTTGAAATGATTCAAAACTAATGGTAATACTTACCTCATGAAAATTGGGCAAAAAATGAGCAATATGGGGAATTTTAGATAGCTAAATGAAAATTGCCACATAGCTTCTCCTTAACGGAGATACGAGCAAAAATTCGATGCAACATCTGAAAATTTCATAAAAAAACATTTTTTTTGCATGCTTTCACAAAAAAGCAACAACAACATTGCTTATTGAAAAATAAAAACGTATGTTTGTATGTGTGCTAGTTTTATTGCTTTTCGTATTTTGTTTTGGTTTTTTTTTTAAACCCTTCACATTCGTGAGAAGGCTATGAACAGAGTTTTCCCAAACATTCCTGGACAAGGAAGGAAACTTCAATGGTATCACTTGTATAAGATACCTATCATTCATCACAGCACATCTCTTATTCAACCTACACACTCATAGAGAACAACATCCGACACACTCACTCTAGGTATACTCTCCGTATACCCCTTCATTCATCCTGTATCATATACACTTAACACAAACTCATTTCCAACGCTTAGTCCCACAGTCACTCCTCTGTGGGGTATCTGTTGACTCCGGCAACAAGCATCAAACTTGTTCAGAATTCTAGATTTCATCGTGCATCAGTCCTTTAACCGACATTTTCTTCCCTCGAATTTGGGTTTAAACCACAGACACTACGAGGATTTCGATGGAACCTCAACCAAGTGACCAGCCAGGACAAAGTCCTGCGACAACTTGCCACCCGTAGTACCATATTTTGTGGTTTTTTGGTTCGAACCCATGTCAAATCATTAAAGGAAAGCCCGAGGATACAATCGATCATCACCAGTTTATAGTCCCGACAGACTAGAGGTATTGGTTTCCCGGGATTGCAATCACACCAAGATGGGGTCTTTTATCAAGGTAACATGCCCCCGGGGGGACGTGAGAAGGGTAGGTTTGTCATTCCGTTTGTTATTTCCATATTATTTTCCGACCCTATAAAGTATATATATGTATTTTGGGACCTTATAGATAGCGGTCCCAAATATTTCTGTCAGACATACTTTCGAGAAGTTTCCTGTTTAATTAACTAACTAACTAATTTTACATCAATTATGAGTTCGTGTGATGAAGATTTTTCATCCGACGATGATCTCAAAGATCCTCTTTAAAGTAATTTTTTGAAGGGGGCCTTATATGAGGTGTAGGGTTAATTATGGACCGATCCACACAAAACTTGGTAGAGAGGTTTTGGATCATAAGAGACTTAATTACGTCAAATTTCATTGCAATACTAGTATTTTTAAGTCAGTAATGATCGGGGCTATACGAAAACGTTGACCGATATTGCCCATTTTCAATAACAAACAAACCTTATCTATAGAGAATATTTGTCGAAAATTTCAATCTTATAGCTCATTCCGTTCGGACAGACATAGCTAGATCGTCTTAGAATTTATAAAGGACCCAGAGTATATATACGTTTGTGGGTCTATAACCAATATTTCAATGTGTTACAAACGGAATGACAAAACCAACATTGTTTATTGGTTAAGTTAATTTACTTACATCTTTTTAAACGAAAATGAAGTTTATAGCTTTTTATTATTACA